CAACCAAATATTAAGTTAAGGGTGCCAATACTTTTGTCCAGCCCATTTTTGGGGTTTTGTGTGACATTATGTCATATTTGCTTTTCTGCCTCTGTTTTATATTTGTTCCAATACATACAAAGGGAATAAACATGTGTATAGCAAAACATGTGTTAATGCAATACCTTTTTGTGTGTGAAATACTTGATTTTCAGGAAAAATATCAAGGGTGCCAACAATTTCGGCCATGACTGTATATCTTCTACTTTTAGCACCTTCCTCTTTGCATGCACAGTCACTACTTGAGCAAACAGCCAACCTTTAGCCACCACTACTGGGACATCTGCCCAAGGGAAATTATTCCCTGTATATGCTTGTCTGACTGAGAACACTTACTGCTTTAAGAGATCCAACAATCCAGACATTTCTTCTACGTCCCGGTTTTAAAAATGATGGGTCATGGGAACTGGAGCAAAAAAGCAAATCCCATTTATACATTTTACCTCTACAAACATTAATTTTTCCTTCCTTCAGTTTTCATACACAAGGCCCCAGTCTGTCTGTCTGAGCCAATGCTCTATAGAACTCTGTACAAAGAACAAACACTGTACAGAATGCTGTAGCCACATTGTCTTTTTTTCTTGAATGTCTACCATGGATGAAAGAAGCATGTTTCGGCACTGAGCATATTTTGTGTCAATGACGATTTTATATATAATACAGCAGTCTCTGAATACTTTGATACAATTTCTTTCTGTATGGCAGCCTACCTAAATACTGAAAAAGACAAAATCTACTCCCCTGGGCATCACACCAACTGCATCAATATACATTAAGTGGACACTTTATTAAGTATGCTTACTCATTACACAGACAGCAAATCACGCAGCTGTAACTCAATATAAAAGCATGCAGATATTGTCATGGTTGTTTGAGCAAACATTAGAATGGAAGATATTCGATCTAAGCAACTTTAATGATGAAATAATTGTGGGTGCCAGACGTGATTGCTGCAGCAGCTCAGAAACTGCTGACCTCCTGGGAGTTTCATGAACTACAGTCTCTAGAGCTTACAGAGAACTCTGAAAATGAAAGACTTTCAATCAGCATCAGTTCCATGGACAAAAACTGGGGAAGGACAGACTTTTACACTGGAATTGCAGACTGGAAGTCTGCAAGAGTAAATTCCTGATGTCATCAGTTCATTGCTTGCAGCAAGTCTCAAAGTAAAATGCTACAGCAGGGGCTAATTTTGTCAGAACACAGCCAAGTGCACAGTCACCAGAATTTATAGGACTGTGCCACCTCTGGGCAAGCATCTCAGTCCAGGAAGCAGATGCTGACCCTGGACGATGGCTGAGCAAAACGGCTCCATCCTTCAGGAGAAGCTCACAAATAAAAAGTAATTGTTAGTGGAAATACTGTGATTGCTGAGATTGGTAATAAATACCTGCAATTATTAAATTGCATGCACCTAACATGAAAAATGTATTTGATTCTAGGTCTACTTTCAGTTATCAGGAAGTCTACTATTCATCTATCCACTTTTTATAAAAGTGACATGAAGACAGGCATCTTCGAATACTCAGTACATCAAAATTTGAAGAAAATGGGCTACAGCAGTAAAAGACCACTCCAGTCAGCTAAGAGCAGAAAATAACACTTCAGTGATCACGAAAATTGAAGAATGGAAATGAAGACATCTGGTCTCTGGAATCTCAAATTCTGCAGAAACATGCAGATGAAGGACTTGAACCAGGCATGTATATATGAATTCATCTCTTAGAGGTGCAAGAAATTCTGTAGGAGCGAATGGAAAAGTAATCCTTGCTTTCCCATCTCTATACAGGTTGTTGTCACCTCTGTGCACTGAATTACAGGTGCTTGGGGAACCTTCGCTCATCCAAAAGTTACATTTTGCTGAAGGTAAAACAAGGTGAATTTTCATTTGGCTCCAGATACCTGGTCTCTTGCTGCCATGCCAGCCTGAGTTTTCAATCTACAATCTCCTTTTCTTATATCAAGAAGAAGTGTAATGGTGGAATGCCATAGCACCCTAGGCCTGGCATTGCCGTCAGAGGCTGATTGATGTCAGGGAAATTAAAAACCTGGAGTACACTTGACAGCAAAAAGATTAAAGCATGTGTAGAGTACCATGTTAATAATATGCAAGGGGATGAGTTCTGAGACTACATGCTGATGCCCCTGTACTCATATGCTCCTGTCATTGAACATAACACAATATGTTTTTTTAATCACAGTGCCACAAGCTAGAGTCATTGCTCCATACCCCTCGTGTAACAAACTCATAAAAGAAGTAGGTTTTTAAAAGTCCTTGAATTTAATGCATTTATACACTATAAAAACAGAAATTAAATTATTAATTTATGTGAGCATCCTCCTAGGAGAAGATGACTAGAAGAAGAACAGTAGTAGGCAAAACAAAATGGAAACATATTACTTTGACTAAGATTTCTAATAGAAGAATTTCCATCCTGTCTTGTTGAACTTGGAGGGGGTTTAAAATAATATTAATAATAATGTCTTTAAAGTTACAATACTCTTTCTGCACAGTCAGTCCTGGCTGCCACCGAGTGTCATCTTGAGTCTATAGCTAGCAATAACAAGCATAAGTAATCACACTTAAGCATAAATGTAGAACTATCTCGCTCAAAAAAACGGACTTTATATGTACCTCACAATGGGATAAATATACAACACAACTCTATAAAAAAAATATGTATTAATCCATCCAGTTAAAATAGACATTTTACATAAAAACAATGAATATTAAGGTCAAACTCCATCATACGTCTTGTAAGTTTGTGATGAACAATAAGCGTATAGGATTGTCGCATTTTGCTGCATTTGCTTCCTCAGGATCCATGCTTGAGATGCAACACTAAGCCACATCAGATCACCTAGCATGAAAAAATGAAACAATATACATCCTCCCATGTGGGGGAGAAGAGTATCATGGAGGATCATCGCTGGATCGAGAGGGGGCTTAAGTATAAGGGGTGGCTGGGGTTCTGCTGCACCAAGGTTTTTTTACCTTCATGTTACTGTTTAATTTGAAAAAAAGTTGGAGAGCCAGGATTTGATTTCCTGTAAACAATCGGTAAGGGATTTGTGAGGAAGGGTGATAGAAGGTTTGGTGGACAGGTAGAGCTGCGTATCATCAGCACAGCAATGGAAGTGGATATTAAATTTATGACATAAGACCATGAGGAAGAAGATAGATTATAAACAGAAGGGAACACAGGACAAACCCCTAGGGCACACCTGTAGAGAGTGGAGATGGTTGAGATTTGAAATATGTGAGTTGGATGGATTGAGTATGGCCAGAGAGAGGAGTTTTAAACCAGTTCAGGGGTGTGCCAGTAAACCCAATGGAAGCTAATTTGTGAAGGAGGATGTTACAGGAAATGGTATCAAGACCATATTCATTCTCGAGGAGTAAGAGGATAGTTGAGGAGGATGAGACCAGAGGAACTGCCATGAAGGGATCATTTGTGATTTTTACCTAGGCAGTGTCAGTGTCATGTAGGGCATGGGAACCAGACTGGAACTGATCAAATAGGTCAGAATCAGAGAGTTAAGTATAACATGTATGTTATTTTTTTTTTTAAAAATCACTTTAAATAAAGGAGGCATTTAACAGAAACTGCGTAAAGTCAGAAGTTTAATTAAAAGTAAAAAGCAGTCTCCCATGACTACTTACAAAGGAAGTGAAAGGCTAGACAGCAAATTGATTTTCAGTATTTCAGCTTTTAATCCGTATTTTGCTATTACAACAGTGGAGACTCCTGGCCTGGGTAGCGGTTAGGAGGCCTTGACTTGTTACTTTGTTATTTTGCCTATTATATATGTAAAGATGTGCTGGTTGCTTAAAATCTTAAAACAGCAGTTGCAAAGCATTTTTTTTTCTTTTCCCTCTTTGTGAGTGACAGACAGGGAAAGCAGGACTGTGCTCTGATTGGTTGTTGCTACAGCTGAGAAGGATCCACCCATAGCAGCACTGTTGCAGCTGGACTTATGATTGGCTGTGGAGGAAAGGAGGGGGGAAAAAAGGAAGAAGAAACACATGTGGGGAAGGAGACATTTTCAGGGGACCGCATGGAGCAAGGGCTCCTGGTGTAAAGTCACAGAGTCTCACTCTTTGTGCTGCTGGAACCCATAAACTGGGCTGGGAGTGTATAGCAGAGAAATTGTTGCAGGAGGACAGTGTGCAAACTAAGGATTGTCCTGCCTGACACTCAGGATTACAGCCACTCAAGTGCATGTGTCTCTCAAAGTCTGGAGCTGCTGAAAGAGAGAGGATTTCTTCTGCTGTCTAATGCTATCTAGAGGACAATCCAGAAACAGTGAGTACTCTGATGAAAGGGGATTTTGATATTGCTGCATTTGCTGTTCATCTCTGGAGAATGGTCATGAGAAAGCCTGCTCTCTAAGTCTCAGAGTGACACAGATCTTGGAAAGCCCAAGCTGCTCAGAATTAGCTATTCCTGCTGCTGATTGATGAGAGAACTCTGTCTCTGTATATTTCTGGTTTGTCTCCTCAAAACTTGTGCTGTGGCTGAAGAGTGTGTTTAGCTCCAAGTCCCCACAGAAGCTTGCTGTTTTAAATATACTGAGCAAGTGTTAACACATCAGGATTCACCTGTATGGTAAAGACTGTTAAAGTGTTGTTTTCTTCTATTGCAATGTTCACTGGAACATTCTGCTTAAAGGAGACTGTACTATCCTGCTACCACTGGATTACAAATACTCTCCCATGCAGAGGGTGAGCGTTCTTCCATTGAGGACCCCAACGTTGAGAGACTTTAAGTTTCATCCCACTGGCCAGTGGTTAGGTAGGACATTTCTGCTATAGCAAATGTCAATAAGCTGCTTAACCTCATTAACAGTTATTGTTTCATGTGTCAATGTCACTCTCATGTGCCACCCTAGTCAGTGTGATACTAGTCAGTTTTTGGAGTCTTTGGCGAGTGAAGAGTGATTTCTTACTAACTGTGTTATGCAAAGTGGCATCTGTGTTTTATGTACATTACCTGTGTTAAATTAGCTAGTTCTTTTTCAGGGTTTGTCTTCTTCAATAAAACCCATAATAAAAAAATATTCTCAGAGTGTCGGAGTGTTCTGGGTATAATCGGAGGTGTCACCAGATTCAGGTGGGAGCTGAACCCATATATCTAGCCAAGCATCACCCAAGGGTGTGCTACATATAATATAAGTATGTATTATAAAAGTCATAAATGAAACCATCTACAACAGTTTGATAGGCTGTGCTGCTCCATGAGCTGGAGACTCACTTGTAGAAGGATCTGCTAAAAATCCTTCCAGTGCTTGCATACACTGGCTTATGACACATGGACACTGAAACCCAACTTTTGCAAGAGAAGCCAAGCCGGCTATTGTAGGTAATACACAGTATGAATCTTAATAACTAAATGTTAGCATACAATAGAGGTCCTTGGGGTTCTCCATTATACAGGAGGCACAATGTTGGCATATTATCTGAATACAGCATATATACAATGTATGAGCATGACGGGACTTTTTCTAAAGGTCACTTGTAAAAATTATTATAATTTTATTTTCTCAGTTGTAAAACACAGAAGTAAAATGTCAGTTTTTGCCAGTACAGCATCATGTAGTCAATAGACTATTATTCCTCATTTAAAACAAAGTTGTTTTCAGAGGGGAATGGCTATGTGGAAATTTAATGTTTAACATACTGCCAAGTGAACACACCTAGAAATTAGAATCTTCTGTAGGCTTGAGTACTGTAGTCCTGTTTATCTTGATTTGAATACCTAAAAACTAGATGGATCAGTCTACCCATACTTCTGGCAGACATCTGCTTGAGTTCCGACACCATTAATACAGAACTGTGCATGAGAACACACACCCAAAAGCAAACGGTTCAACTGTCTTTGTGCTTTCGGCTGAGTGGCATAAGCCATATATTCAGAGCTGCAACAGGTATTCATGTGTAGAGTCCCACAGGCTAGCAGGTACAACAAGCCTTTTGTGTTTGTCTGAATGCAAGCCAAAACGTCTGCCTTTGTATTGAACAAACCTGTTTTCTAGTGATAACAAAGCCCTGAGTTGTGAAACCTTGCAGTCAGGCCTGTGACTAACAGCTGCTTCAACTTTGCAAGAACAAGCAGATGTAGTTCAAGCTTTTCGATGTCATAAAACCCCCTTTAGTCAAATATGTCACAGTGTTCACTTTTATATTTCTTATTGGAACACAAAGTATATAAAAACGTAAAAAAAAAAAAAAAAAAAAGAAATGTATATTGGATTTGCATGCAATTTCTTTATTAGGTTACCATACCTAAAGGAAGTATTTTTTTTAGTTTTGTGTGGAGTGGAAAGGGATTATAACATCAGAGTTTTTTCTCCTGTCTGTAAGACCCTCTCTATTTGTCCTGTTTACCATTATCAGGGAAGGTGAATGTGACATGAATTCTCAAATTTTGGGTTGTCCTCAGAACAGTATTATTTGTCCGCCCTATTTGTCCCGCGGATCACCGCCGCAGATGTCAGTCGCCAGGTCACAGCCGCTCCTTAGCGGCTATGTTCCGGCGATCGGCAGCAAACAGTGACAGACAGCACAGCTGCAGTAGCTGTGCTGTCTGTCACTTCCCTGTCAGCTCGAGGATGAGCTGATCGAAAAAGAACAGTTTCTCTTTCTTGATCAGCCTTGTCCCGCCCAGTACACACCCCCGCCCCCTAGTAAAACACTCCCCTCACTCCTATAACCCTTCCCTGCAAAATAAAGTTAACCCCTTCCTCCCCATTGCCACTAGTACAGTGTCAGTTTTTTTTTTTTTTGCACTGATCACTGTATTAGTGTTTTTGGGGATGTCAGTGACCCCAAGTAAGTACCCCCAAATGTCAGAATGTCCGCCGCAGTCCCGCCATAAGTCTCTGATCGCTGCCATAATTCGCTGATCGCCACCATTATTAGTAAAAAAAAAAACCCCTAAAAATCCCAGTATCTTTCCCGCCATTTGTAAACGCTATAACTTTCACGTAAACCAATTAATTTACACGTATTGGGTTTTTTTTTTAGCAAAGACATGTTGCAGAATGCATTTTGGCGGAAATTTATGACTAAATTTGATTTTTGCATTTTTTTTTTTACTGGACATGTTTTATAGCAAAAAGTCCAAAATATTGTTTTTTTTTCCCTCAAAACTGTCAGCCTTTTTTTTTATAGCGCAAAAAAAAAAAAAAACGCACAGGCGATCAAATACCACCGAAAGAAAGCTCAATTTGTGGGGAAAAAAAAAGGATGTAAATTTCATTTATGTACCATATTGCATGACCGCGCAATTGTCCGTTAAACTAGCGCAGCGCTGTATAGCAGAAAAATTGCGTAAATTGCAGTATCTATACCATAGTTTGTAGACGCTATAACTTCCACACAAAGCAATCAATATACACTTATTGGGATTTTTTAACAAAAACATGTAGCAGAATACATTTTGGCCTAAATTTATAACCAACTCTGAGTTTACTATATATTTTTTATAGCTGAAAATAAAAAATTATTTTTCTTCAAAATTTTTGGCCTTTTTTTGTTTATAGCGTGAAAAACAAAAAGCGCACAGGTGATCAAATATCACCGAAAGAAAGCTCTATTTGTGTGAAAAAAAGGACGCAAATTTCGTTTGGGTGCAGCACATTGCATGACCGCGCAATTATCAGTTGAATTAGTGCAGCGCCGAGTAGCAAAAAGAGGCCTGGTCATTAAGGGGGGTAAATCCTCAGGAGTGCAAGTGGTTAAGAACTAAAAATACATTTGAAAAATACATGCAAACTCTTTTCAGGTAAATATGAAAAACTGCAAATTAATATTGTTTTTTTCAGCTGCTAGTTGGAGTTTTAGACTCTGTAATGGTTGACCAGACCAGTTTTATTTTGTTTACCTTCAGCATTGTCAGCAGAGTGACTTAACTTTTTCTACTGCAATCAAACAACACAACTTGGTTACTAGATGACTCTAGCCTTCAGATATAATGGAGTCATCCCTCTAAAACCCCCTCTTGTAGAAGGGAGACTGACAGCACTGTGCAAAGATACGATAAAGCCCTAAATGGCTGAAAGTGCTGATCCTCTCTCTCTCTCTCTCGGTCTGAGGTTAATAACAAGACTCAGATACGTCTGTTAAGCCCCTTTTTATGTGAAGGGTCCAATCAGGTCCACTTGTCAATTTTTCAGGCAGACCTGATTGGACCCTCTGTTCATTCCTATAGGCCTACCCCCAATCCAATCTGGCTCGCTAAAAACCCCTCAAAAACACAATGGAAGGGGATCGCAGGGCAATTAGGTGTAAATGGACAGTGGAGTCAATTTACACCTGACTGCCTATAGAGTAGAGCAGGCTGCATAAAAGGAGCAGACACTCCTTTCATCCCCCTGTTCTGCTCAGATCCACAAGGGATCAGCTGACAGATCACCTAGTGATCTAATCAGAATCCGCCCCATGTGAAAGGGGCTTTAATAGTATGTTAACTCCTTCCTACCCAGCCCTGTTGTCCTATTATGCTGGACGATGGAAAGGTCTGTCTGATCACGTGACCACTGTGATTGGCTGTCAGAGTGGTTATATGATTGGGAGCCGGTCCTGATGACTCCTGATTATTACTAGAGACCTGAAACCGTCTTTGAACTCTATGCCATCCAGGGACGCATATGTGCGGTGTGCCATTTTTGCTCAGCACATATGTGCTACTTGTGGAGCAACAGGTTAAAAGTAATTATTGTATAACTAAATTACATCTTGTTTTTTAACCTCTGGGGTTTAGATTGAACCAACAGGTGCTTATTTGTACATTTTGAAATAGTGCACTACAATCTGTGTGGGTAAGGGGGTTAAAATGAAGTGAACCAATATTGGAGAAGGATCTACTTAGTAGTCCAGAGTCCTGATAGCATGCATTGTCAACCTGAAGGTTCTAAAGCTAGCAAGATCATTTTTTCCGTATTAAGAGAAGCGTATACTTTAAAGAAACATATAAAAGAAGCTCAACAAAGATTTTCTATTCCCAATACTCTAAATGCAGTCAGCAGGATGTGGACTTCTGGCATTTAATGTGGGAATGTGGGAAGAGTTTCATTCTTTCAGAAGTCATTGGCTTTCTCTGGAGGATATTAATGCAACTGATATATTAATACTCCGACCTTTTGTCTTCCCAGTTTGACAGACAATATTCCTTGCTTGGGAAAAAAAAAATCAGATATTGAAATTGATCGCCTTGGAAACACCCATAATCTAAAATGTGGGTGGTTTAATCATTTAAACCAGGGGTCCTCAAACTTTTTAAACAGGGGGCCAGTTCACTGTCCCTCAGACCGTTGGAGGGCCGGACTATAGTTTAAAAAAAAAAAAAAAAAAAAAAAACTATGAACAAATGCGGACACAGTACAGGAGATGACCAGAGACTGCGGACATACAACGGCAGTGGGAATACAGGGCCGGCCGCTCCATAAGACGCACAGTCATTTCCCCCCCAATTGTGTCTTATGGAGCGAAATAGTGTCCCATCATTGGTGTCAGTGAGAGGAATAGTGCCCCATCATTTGTGTCAGTGGGAAGAATCGTGCCCCATCATTGGTGTCGGGGGGGGGGAATAGTGCCCCATCATTAATGTCGGGGGGGGGGGGGGGGAGAGGAATAGTGCCCCGTCAGTGTCAGTGTGGGGAGGGGGGGGATAGTGCTCCGTCATTGGTGTCAGTGGGGGAAGGGGACAGTGTCCCAACATTGGTGTCAGTGGGAGGAATAGTACCCCATCGTTGGTGTCAGTGGGGGAAGGAATAGTGTTCCATCGTTGGTGTCAGTGGGGGGTGGAATAGTGCCCCATCTTTGGGGTCAGTGGGGGGTGGAATAGTGCCCCATCTTTGGGGTCAGTGGGGGGTGGAATAGTGCCCCATCTTTGGGGTCAGTGGGGGGTGGAATAGTGCCCAATCGGTGTCAGTGGGGGGTGGAATAGTGCCCAATCGGTGTCAGTGGGGGGTGGAATAGTGCCCAATCGGTGTCAGTGGGGGGAGGAATAGTGCCCCGGTGTCGTTGGTAGTACCCCAGTGTCAGGGGGGGGGTTAGTGTCCCAATGTTGGTGTCAGTGGGGGGAGGAATAGTGCCCCATCATTGGTGTCAGTGGGGGGGGGGGGATAGTGTCCCAACATTGGTGTCAGTGGGAGGAATAGTACCCCATCATTGGTGTCAGTTGGGGAAGGAATAGTGTTCCATCGTTGGTGTCAGTGGGGGAGGAATAGTGCCCCATCATTGGTGCCAGTGGGAGGAATAATGCCCCATCATTAGTATCAGTGACACCAATGATGGGGCACTATTCCTCCCACTGACACCGACAATTAACTTGCTGACCTCTGCTCCAGCATGGTGCTGCTGAAGTCAGCATACCTTGTTGCAGCAGCACCATCAGCACGGCACACTTACCTGTCAGCTGTCCTCCTTCACTCCAGCCTCTCCCTCACTCGATGTTCGCGGGGCCGCTCGGCTCCACCTCCTCACAGTTGATTGGCCACCTGCGTGCCTTTCCTGAGCTACAGTTCTGGCGCCCCAATCATCGGTGAGGAGCGGCAGGAGTGAGGGAGTGGCCACAGTGAATGAAAGAGCAGCGCTTCCTGGACTGGATCGTCATGGGACTGGGACCGGAGCCAGGTAAGGTATAGCAGCCCCCTGCCCACCCCTGTACTTAGTGTCCCTTCCTCGCGGAAAATACGCCCCTGCCAGTGGGCCGGATAAATGGCCTCGGCGGGCCGCATGTGGCCCGCGGGCCGAAGTTTGAGGACCCATGATTTAAACTTTAGCTTCTACAGCACGGATGTCAAACTGGCGGCCCCCCAGCTGTTGCCAAACTAGAAGTCCCATGAGGCATTGCAAGATTGACAGTTACAAGCATGACTCCCAAATGCAGAGGCATGATGGGACTTGTAGTTTTGCAACAGCTGGAGGGCTGCCAGTTTGACACCCCTGTTCTGCAGAGTCCTGGTATTATAAAATGTCTTTGTTAAGACTAAGATAATTGCATCAAAAAAAAAAAAAAGGAAAAAAAAAAAAAAAAAAGTTCTCACATTCAGATCTTTCGATTACATTAATGGGTGACCACATAAGGAAACAAATACATCCTCATTTTGGAAGACAGGCACTAAACTTTTATACACTATTGAAAGTCGTTTCAACTATTTAACAAACGTGCCAACTTAGTTGAGATTTTACACATTGTTATTGCAATAAAATATGTCCTTTATAACTGTCTTTTTTTCCCCTTTTTTAATGTTATACTTTATAGTCTATATGACTATAATGTTTGTCCAAGGATTCATTTTATCTAGAAATTAAACAGGTATAACAGATTTCTTAACATTTGCTTATTAAAATGTTATTTGCAGTGGTATTTAACAAACAGTATAAGTGAACAGTACCTACTATAACAGTTTTGGACAGAATGGAGAGAGATTAGAACACCTGTCAGATTTGTTTGCTGTCTGTGCCCCCTTTTTTGAAGAATTATCTCCAGTTGTCCTGTTTGCTGAGGTACAAAGTCCTCAATTTTGGGCTACCACCAAAACAAGAACAGACAGGAAATCTTCCAATAGGGACACAATTTATATCAATCCTGGTAAGAACTAGGTATTCCCTCTCTTTGGAGTGATTTCCTCTCATTTCCTCTGTGTTGGTTATAAGACAAAAATCTCCCCAATACAACACAGATGGCCAAAAAATAAAACAAAAACACCAACATGGACAATAGGGGGTTTAACCCTCTTTTACTCTATGCAGAGAAAAAAAAAAAAAAAAAAAAAAAAGGAGATCTACCTTAAAGAATAAGTTCACCTTTTGGAGCATGTTACATGTCCCACCCGTTTTTAGGGTGGAGCATGTAGCATGTTCCCACTC